TTATGCATAATAAAACGCATTATTTTAAAAATAAAATGACAGCAAAATATCGGTTACCATAAATAACTTGTCCGGCAATGGGTTTATCATAAGTCGTATCGCTCGCCAAAATCCATGCAACTGTCTACTAAAGTAGCACCAATTTCTTTAAAGTATTATAAAAAATTAAAATAATTCATAGATAATTTGGTACTTGTCAGTTTTATCAGTAACCAGGGACTGATTACCAAGTTTGTTGTTATTTATTGCCAAATAATATAGTGAATCAAAAACAAGTAAAACTTGATACTTTTCCGTTTCGCCGGCGCAAATCTCGCCAAGCAGACTTTATTGGCCTCAACATACAGTATACACATAAAAAATGTTAACAAATGTTAGTTCTAATAATTTTTTTTTTTATTTTTTTATTTTTTTTATTTTGAAGGCAGAAACATTTTAATATCGTTTAAAATTTTGTAAAAAACCAATAAAGAAAGACAATAAATTTGTAAAAAGACATTAATTTTAAAATGTACTATGCCAGGGGTGGCCAAAGTGCGGCTCGCGAGTCTGATAAGGCTCTCGCAGGCAATTTGTGCGGCTCATGCATATAAAATATATGTATGAAATATGGTAAACTAAAACTATTCAGTATACAAAAGAAAATAATTAATTAGTTTAGACTCTTTTTTCAAAGTTATCAGGGATTTCTTTCTATTTAAAACCTCCTCCACTACTTCTATAATGATGTAAATATAAACTTGTCGCTTTTAGAAAATCTAGATGCAGCTCTCAAACATTCCTGAATTGAAACGTGCTCTTACTGACATGAAGTTTGGCCAACCCTGTACTATGCTTTCATGGTCAACATCCTGATTTGCCGGTTTATATCACGTGACCCCAAGTGATCTTATCTCATGTAAACTATGCTACAAAAATCTAATTCTCTCAGTTATAGTCTACATAAATTTCAAGTGAAATCTTAATTCGGAATACAAGTGTAAATGCAAGAATTATTTCAATTCGTACAAATAGCTTATTCAGAAATTATGTAAGCCCGCAGTGCTTTACTTCGCTAGTGCATTCTTATTAGAATTGATGAATCTGACTCTTGACTTTGCCTTTTCTATATTTTCGTTTTCGGGTGAGCGACATGATTGCATTCTAATTAACTTAATTACCACGAATGGCCTTAGGGCATAAAATTGAACTATCTGGGTAAAAATTCTGTGTAATTCTATGCCAGTATTGAAAGAAACAATCAATCTGATAAGAAATGGCTGCGATTTGTTTTGAAAATGAGGTGTAAAAGGTTACCAGCGAGGATATTCCGTTTGGTATCAGTTGCACCATTATTGGCGACTTTATCGCCTGCTCTGGCAAAATGGAAAATTACCTAAAACTTTTTCATCATTTATCTATATGTTTGTAGAGCACACTTGCTTCCTTAGAAAAATAAAATCAAATATATATTAAGTAATAAGAAGTAAATCATTTTTCTTTTGTGTACAGAAATCCTTTTTTGGGGGGAGGGAAGGGTGGAAATTAAAAATGATAATGGTTTTTACTTTCGAGTGAAAATAAATTGTTGCATTATTTCAAGAAAAAGGTATTTTACCATTCATCCAAATATGCAAAGAAAAAAAAGGGGGGGCTTGAAAAGAAGTTATATATCACCATGGTAGCCATATTATGGTGATGCAATGTGAAATAAGCCCAGAAAAAAAAGGGGAATGCCTTTGCATTGTCAATCAACAATCGAATGGTATTAACGGATTTGTATTGTATCACCATTCATATCGCTCAGCAATATCTTGAGTTGTATGTGGCTGCAGTATGACTGTGATAACACATTTGATACCATGTTAGTTGCTGCTGCTGATTAATGGAATCCTGGGGGGAGAATTATAACTCTTTTTGAAGTAGGAAATTAAAATTTTTTAAATAAATCAAATTATTCTCTTTCTTTTCCATATTTCCACTAAAATGCTTTTTGCTTTTAGCTATTATGAAAAATGCTTTTCTTTAACTGTGTCTAAAATTCATGACAATTTTCCCCCCTTAAGAAAAATTTGCACAAATTTTGGTGCTGATGAAATCAATAAGTACTGATTTTATAGTATGTATACTTAATATTACTAATTCACTTGAAAATCTTTTAAATGAATGTGCATAAAAAATAGAATGTTTTTGTATTTTATTGTCATAGCTCCAGTTTTATTAAATAGTTTAAACATCCATATAGAGAGTTTCCCATAGCATTTTCTTGTTTGAAAGATGTCAATTTTGCATTTTTCTTTCAAGGTCATTCCATACAAAAGTCAGGACTTGAATACAGTGATATTTAAAAGTCCTAAGTAATTGTTTCTGCATTATTTTAAGTTCACTAAAATTTTCTATTTAACAAGATAATTTCATCACAACTCAAAAGAATGCTTTTAATCATTGCTTGCTAATACATACTTCCCAACTAATCTAGTTTGCTGTTGAAAAGTACTATGACAAGCCTGCTTGCTTGTTTAAAATACTATTTATTTTAAAGAAATTACAACTGCATTTCTTTAAATAACCCCATACTATATCACAAGTTCATTTCATGCTGAACAGTAAGGAATGGACATTAATTTGCATCCATTTAATAGCCTATTTTTTAATCCCATACACAATTGTCTTTTTATATGACTAATCCTTAAAAGGAAGTGGTTTTGAGCTACTTTGTTCTTTCAGGCCAGGATTTTGAACTATTTTTCCAGTTGTCAGTCGCATTGAAATGTTATGCATTGTATTCTGATTTGAACATAACTGAACATTTATTTTAAATAGCATGTCTTTCATTCCAGCTGATATTTTGGTATTTTAATTAGCCTTTCGATACAGATTTGATAAAGAAGAGTATAGTTGAAGATAATATTAAAGGAAATCTTTTTTTGAGCTTTAAAGATGGCTTTGCTTTGTAATTTTCTGATGAGTCACCAAAGCAGCATGCGGTCTAGCATTATCATGATGCAGTACGATGTGCTTCCTATTGAACATTGCTGGCCTCTTTCCTTTGACTTTGAGCTTTGTTTTGCTTTTACTATCTTCTGATTTGCTTTATCTATTTCCAAAGGTTGAGTACACAGCATTGTCTTGTCAGCATTTAAGAAAGTTGACAGAGAGGTTATTGAAAATGAAAACATTTTGATTGACAAGTTAGTCGGTATTCTCGACACAACAATTACAGGACTTGAACAGGAACATTGTAACTGAGCAAGAAATTTTGTCTGTGAGAATTAAAGAGAAAGTATTAGCACCAAACTAAAGCAACTTAAAAAATTACATAAAGATTAATAAAAGTTAAACAAACAAATATTAATATTAAGCTTTTTTTTTTTTTTTTTTTTTGATACCCTTTAGATCATAATTGCTCTTTATTTCATAAATTACAATTTCATATTTTTAATTGTATAATTTCTGCATGACATCTTACCAGATTTAAATCGATGATTTAATATCCGGAATTGCAGACGTCCCAACAAGTCCGTATTTCAGACTTTGCATTATATGTCTCAAATGAACACTTGCATCTGTGTTGAAACTTAAACTAACATTATTGGACAAAACTTTGGTAGACTCTATATTCTAAAAGAAAATATTAAATAAGCTGTTTTATTATATTTTGTCATCATATCATATGTCATTAAAATTTCGTCTGCTTTTATTTTCATAATTTTTAGTTTTTGTTTTAGCTAGTTAAGTACATCTGGTAATTTTTAAAATATTCAACATGGTATAAATTTGAGCATAAATGTTTCCTAGTTACTTTTATTGAACTTTTATTACTTTTTTATTATCAACAGTACATTTTTAACAACCAGTGGAACTCAACATATGCAAAATATTCAAGTAAAAAAAGTTCATTTGTTTGGCTCTCAGCAGCAGCCAACTGTTATCAAATGATGATCCTGCATTATCAGTGAGTAGTTTCAGTATGTCTACCGATCTGCCAGATTTCTCTACACAGTCACAAATCATTAATAAAAATCCACCTATGGCTTTAAGACAAATAATATTCTTTTTCCATATTTTAAATCTGATATTTTCATAAGTTTCATTAAAATTTGTGTATATATTTTCAAAGTTTCTCTATATTTGATGCTTTAGTTTATTTAAAATTGTTAACATACTGGGAATTTGTAAAACATAAGCGTAATTAAAGTTGTCTTATTTATTTTATGCAAAGTATTAATAAGTGATCTGAATAGTGAATAATCAAAATTATATGTTATAAATATGTTACTGTTCTATCTATGAGTTTCACTGAATGCTTTCAATGTAGCTTTCCCCCCACATTATATCATTCAAAATGTGATCATTTTATCCATGGATAGTCCTGCTTTTTTGGGGGTACTTACTTATATTGTCAACTGGCCAAATAGTGCGATTAAGCACCAAACATGGATGACTACTTCCTTTAGAATTCTACAGTAACGATTGGCAGCTGGCGACTGTTGTTGAAATTTCCAGCAATGGTCGACGGGATAATACGAAAGAACCTTCCCCGCCCCACCGAATTTCAATGTAGCTTTTCCCCACATTGTATCATTCAAAATGTAATCATTTTATCCATAGACGGTCATGCTTACTTTTTTTTTTTTTTTTTTTTTTTTTTTTTTTAAATTTTGGCACATTTAAATCGTGCATCTTTTTAGTTTTGTCATTCGGATAAATTCAGTTATTATCAAAATAATATTGTTCAAACTTACCAGGTACTTCATTTCTCTAATTTTTGTGATTCAGAATTTGAATTCTATAAAAGTTTAATGTATTTAGCTTTTCCACAGCTTTATTTCAAATGTATTCATGGATAAATAACTTGTAAAAAAAATTTGCTTTCATTCTTATTTTGTGTTATGTATTGTATTGTTATTACTGGATGTACGTCAGGCACATTTTGCATTCAGTAACATAAAAACTAAAATTTTTTATAACTGCTTTATTTTTTATGATAAAACTAAAATGCTGTTTATCTAATTTACTAGATATCTAGTAAACAAATTGCTGGAGCTTTATTGTTGGATACAGGAGCATATGTTGTAAAAGATTCGATGAATGCTTCTTCAGATAGTAAACTAGCTGAAAAATGTTTTACAAATGTTGCTGCAAATTCAACTACAGAATTAGAATTACCAGTTGATGTTATAAGCCCTCTGGTAAAGAGGAAACGAATGGATCCAAATGTGGAAGATGTTAGTGAAGGCCTACCTGAACAGATACTTAGTGATGTGGTTCATGAAGGAGATAGCTTAGAATTACCTTTGCCAGAAAATTTCTCAGAGACTTCTGATCTTCGGCGGCAAGAAGCTCTAAGTACTTCTCTCTCTAGAGCAGATGTACATACAGATATTACCTCAAAAGCTTTATTTGACCTTAGTAGTTCTACAACTGTGACTCCTAGTTCTTTATCATCAGGCTGCTTGAGTGCTATAAATTCTTCAAAAAATCAAAGTATCAACAGTACATTTTTAACAACCAGTGGAACTCAACATATGCAAAATATTCAAGTAAAAAAAGTTCATTTGTTTGGCTCTCAGCAGCAGCAACTGTTATCAAATGATGATCCTGCATTATCAGTGAGTAGTTTCAGTATGTCTACCGATCTGCCAGATTTCTCTACACAGTCACAAATCATTAATAAAGATCCACCTATGGCTTTAAGACAAATTGAAATTTGTGATAACCCTGAAAGAGCAAGTAAGCATGCTTTTCAAGGCATATCTCTAGATACAAATATTGATATTTTTAATTCTTGTCAAGAACTTCAAACTCAAACTGTCATAATGAATAATACTCAAACTTCCGCTCATTCAGTACCTGCAGTTTCCATTATAAATAGCAATATTCATAACGGAACTATACCAAATGATTCTCAGAATGTTGCTCTTGAAACTGCTGTTTCCCGGAGTATTGTTAGCTGCTTACCGGTTTCAGAAGTTATTGGTTCACTTCAGAATTCTTCTTGTATTGTGACAGATAATGGAATACCATCTGAAGTTAATATTAACACTGCGGCAGTTGAGGAACCCAGAGAACTTGAGGTAAATTTGGTATGCTTTTATTTTTGCACTGAATGAGTATTTTTACATACAAATCATGTCATTTTTATATAATTTGCATTATCAGAATAAGAGTTAATAATAAAATGTAATAATATTAATTAAAAAAATTTTAATCATAAAATACATTTAAAAGATATGCTTGTTCCTAATTAAATTTTATCCTCGTTTAATGATTAATTTCATATGCAAATTGTTAATCTCTACATTTTTGCAATGTTATCAATATATAAAATTATTGATGAGTAAAACATTTGTAATGTCATATCTATCCATTTTACATAATATGTATTTCATCAGTCAAATTCATATTAAAACACTATTTATGGGTCTTTAAATTAATTCAAAGTAATTGGTTAAATGCTCACTGCTGAATGTCTGTATGACTTTATTTCTATGAGTATAGCATTTCGACATTAAAAATGGAAAGTTTAATGAGGAAAATGTTTTCAATAATATTAGGTAGAAAAAATTGCAAAGAGGAACAAAAAGCACAATTTAACATATAGAAGAGTCAGTAATGATGTATATTATCTACTGCTTTTAGTTAGTTATTTTTTAGAAGGTGAAATTAAAACACTGTTTTTAAATGTGAAAGTACACATAAGTAATTAAGAATCTATAAATGAAAATAATTTCATTAATTAATTTAATAATCTGTTAAATTTTTAATTTTGTTAAAACTAAATATCTTCAAAATTCAATAATAATAATCGTATTATAAAATAAAAAATTCAGTAGCTTTCATATTAGAATGCAATAAAATAATAGAAAAAAGAAATTCTTAAAACAACAATCAATTTTAGTGGTGCTACCTAAAAAATAAATAACTGAAAGCGGTAGATCACATATTACATCCTTACCAAAAAGTCTCCAAAACCTTACAGAGAAAAAAAATATTTTCATTTATAAGTTTCGTGGGGATGTAAAGTGCAGGAGAAACTGCCAAATGGTTCCCCGAATTGTTTAGACACTGTTTAAAATTTCATTTGAAATACTGTTGGTATTTCTTTTTTTTTTCCATCAGAAGGGGGGGGGTTGTAGCTTTACAGATTATAGCAAAACAAACAAATATGACAGTCTGTTAGTTGTATCTTTGTAGATTATAGGAAAACAAACAAGTATAAATACAGTCTATAAATTTATCCAAATCTATAAATAATATATATTTTGTATGGACCAGGGATTGGATTTATTTTCTAGGGTTTGCAATTTTCATGCCACCAGATACAGTCACACAAACTTCACAGCAGCACTGCTTGGAATTACTAATGTTCTGGAAAAGTCTTGGTGTGTCTCGTATCTCCTCAACAGCTACTGAGATGCAAACAATGAGGTCTTCAGCTGAATCAATGGGGGTCTCATAGCACACTAATTACATTACATTGCACTAGTGCCTTTATTTGACCTCAGAATAAGAAGTCCAGGCATGATAGGCCAGGCGATCTAACTGGCCATTGAACCGGAGCACCACGACCTATCTAGTGCTATCCAAATATAATATTTAGGTGTTGGTGGATGTCATTATAGGTGTTCGTGGGAGCTCCATCGTGCTAGATCAACATCGAGTGACGTAATAATTGAGGAACATGTATTTCTTCATTAAGTTTCAGGCAGGACTCCACATAGGAAAATTAAGTACGCCCTAGGAGGTGGTCTTTAACAATGCCAGCCCAAACACTGATAGAGAAAAATGGCTTTGAACTGCATGTGTTCACATACCATAGGGGTTATCCAAAGCCCACAAATGGGCATTATGTTAATTGAAGACTCACTATTGTAAAAAATGCCTCATTTGTGCAGCAAATGCACTATCTGCCGCACTCTTTTTGAAGACAGAATTCCTCCAGAATTGATACCCCCAATGCTTGGATGTGTTGAAGATGATATGAACACATTTGGTTTCCTGTCAGTATACTGCATACAATGGATTGGGACAACCCAGTCGTTGGATTATTGCTTGAGTACTTGTACTTGGATTGCCATCTGCAAGACATAGGACATTTTCCTCATTATCTAGCGTCCTCATTGTTCGCTCTTGATTCATGGTATGTTTAATAAAACAACCATTCTCATGTAACCATCTATGCAGATGTGCGAAGATTGCATGATAAGGAGCATGCCTGTGCAGGAAATGTTTACAGTAAGAATGCAGAGCAGCATGCCCATTACCGTCTGCAGCTGCATACGTGAGGTGGATGTCAGCCAGTTCAATGCTTGAATACTCATCCCTCCTACTGCCTTGTAAATAGTTTTCAAATACTGACTTCCAACATGATCGCTGTACACACAACCTCCTGTTCAAAACCCTCTAATCCCTGATTAAGGCATTTCTACCCTGCAATGCTATGCGATTTCAAATTATCTGTATGCCCCCTGCATCTCCTGTAAGTTTGTCACACCGGTAGCGAATCGCGATGTGTATAATGTATTGTTTAAATTTTTAATGATTTTTTAAATTAATTCTGAAACTTGCATATATTTTCATATTGCCTTCTAAGAAATTTGATATTACCCTTTTGATAATGAATTATATTGATATTATTTTGGACATTATATCAGATATTGTCTAAAACTATAATATCAATAAATTTTTATTCAGGTTACTGATTCATAAAACTTAACAGCTGGTGTGTAAATAATCCTATCATAATACATCCTGTTATTTTGCCTTCCTCATTAGATACTAGATTATTCCTCATTAGATACCTCATTAGATACTCATTAGATTAATAAGATATAGAACTGTATTGTTTTAGTCCTGCTTCATTCAGTCTTCCACGTTTTCTTTTCTCCTTCTTATGTTCCATGTTTTTTATGTCTAAAATCTTGAAAATCAGAAGTAATTTCGACAAGGTTAGATGTCAGAACATCTAAACTTGTCGAAATTTGCTTTTAGCAGAAATTTATTCCTTTGCAATATCATGATTAAATTCTTTCAGTTATGAATTAATATTAAGTTATTAACTACTTATTAGACCCTAGTGACAGGATTCTCTGTATCAAAAGTATCAGCTTTCTTCCAAAAGGTGGGAGACCCTCAGATCCATCCCCAGTATGTTCTTTATCAAAACTGAGATGGAACCTCCCCATTATCAGGAAATGGCTAACTGGACTGATGCACATTGGTCATTTTTATATCATAGAAATATTGTGAATGTTATATAATTTAGTAAATTCATTTTTGAATTTTTATAACTAAATGTGTTTTTGCTAAATTTCAAAAAATGTGCAAAATTATGATTCATATTTCAGTTTAAAAAAAAACAGGTATTTGTATGAATATATCAACTGATTAAAACTTGAGTTTAAAAATAAAAAAAGAAATAGGATTTGTTTTATGTAAGAATTTGTGCGATTTAACATATAATCCCTTTTTCCTTCTCTTTAGGTAACCACGCACAATGAAATACCTGAAGCTACAAAACCTTTAGAATCTTCGACTGTTCTCAGACATCTTATGCTCCCTGATGGTCAGGTTATTGGTTTATGGTCACAAATAGGAGATTCAGAAAAAACTTTAAGTGAGCAGCATATTCAGGGTTATTTGCCAGGGAACTTGATCATTTTACAAAACCCAAATGGATCTGTACAAGTGCCTAATGACCAAGCTGTCCCTTTAGAGACATTGCAAACTCTAGTTACAGTTGACCCAGGGTCAGTGAGCCAAACAGGGACACATACATATACCACAGTGCAACATATGTAATATTTATTTATTTATTTATTTGTTAAATATTGTAATGAAACTTTTGTACAGTGTTTTAAATGTATTACATTTCAAAATGTTTTTAGCTTGATGAGTGAAGTATGTGAAATTTTATATGAATACTTCTTAGGTGAATCTATGGATAAACAACATAATGTAATTATTTGAATAATATTTTGAGACCTAGCCAGTAACATTTTGATAAACTAGAGGTGATATTCTACTGGTTACATAAATTTTTATAGTATAAATAAATGATAATTTGTTAATGATAATTTAAAGCCGTAATTTTATTAATGATTTAGTTGTATGGCTGTGTTTTAGAGTATATATTATTTTAAAATATGGTTTCAATTCCATTTTATATCATTATCTTTTATTTTAAATAATTTGTCTAATTCAAGATAATAATTTCAGTAGATGAAATGTTTAAAAAATTGTGTCTTGAACTTTTACTTAATTGTTTTTTAAATTATTTTTCTGAAATGTAGTTAAACATAGAATTTTCTGGATAAGAACTTGTATTATTTTGGTGTCATTTAAAATCCATATGGAGATGCAATTGCAAAAGAAATCCCTTTCTTTTGTTGTTCTTCATTACTTCTATGTTCTTTGTTATAAAATATAAGTAAGGGAGATATTTTAAATCAAGAATAGCCATAAAGTTAGAAAATAAGCTGGAAGATTTTATGGATAGGCACAAAATGAAACTGGGGGGGGGGATCTCTTAAGGTAGTTTAATTATGTAGTCAGATATCTGCTGTACTATATTTATTATTCTTTGTTTACTAATTTAAGAGAATCTTTCCCCTTCATTTTTACTCCTGTAACTTGTCTTATAGCAAAATATTTTAAGCTTTTAATTATTTTAAACTTTTGTGTGTGTGTCAAATACCATGTATTTAAAAATTCTATATTGGAAGGAATTAAGTAAGTCCACATGGAAGGGAATTAAACTTTTGAGAAAGGTAATTTGAATATAGATTGGGTTTATGTATCATAAAGTGAATTAAACAAAATGAAATCTGAAAAATCACGGTGATGGTACTGTTATGAAAATAGTATTGGAAATAAAAGGCCTTTATTTGATTTCATTGTAATGGCATTGATTTTGATATGCTAATAATTTTTCTGGGTGGTTAATTGTATAAAAATTCTTTTGAAATGAAATAATTCTGATTTACCCACTAAAAACCACATTAAAAAATTGCTAAGGTCAGAATTTTGGCAGGTTGTTCATCTGCTAAAATCTAAATGAATGGCTTGGGCAGTTGTACCTTTTATTGATGTTCTTGTTGGGTTGCTGTACTTTTGAAAACTAATGTTCAAATTTGTGGAAGATTAAAAGGAAAGTATTTATTACAACATAATCTTGTGCCAATTTCTATAACTTCTGATATTTTAAGGCTTTTTTTGTGCCATGATTCTGGGTTTTTTTCTCATTTAGTTACTGATTTTAGATATTCTAATGACTGTTTTCCTGAAGTGTGCTTTTTTCTTCGCTTGTTAATACATACAAGATTTATAATTATTTTTCTTAGTTTGACAATCTTTTTTGATAAATTTCTAAAGATCAAATTGATGTATTAAGTTTCAGTATTTGTTTCTTCATCAAGGATGGGAATTGTTTGTATGACTCATGTATCTGCTGTGTTTGTGTTGCCGTCCAGTTTGTCTGTTTGTAACAATTTCTGGGTGGATGGTGTTGGAGATATGGCAAGTTTATATTCAAATCTTCTGAAAAGTGAGTTGATGTATGGAAAAGGTTAGTCAATTTTCTAATGAATTTACTTTTGTTCGAGTGTTGTATCATAGCAGTTTTACTTTTCTGAATTGGTTGCAAAAATGATTAACAAAAGATAATTTATTCCTGCAATTAATTAAAGACTTCTACAGCTAATTTTAAAAATGTAAATTTGCTATTTAATATAGTAACGGAAGAGGAATATATTCATTGCAACATTGCCCTACTATTCCTATACATCAGTTCTTCTTCTGACCTTAGCAATGTTTTAGAATAGGTTTTAATATGAAAATGAAGACTTTTTTATTTTAACTGGATGTGCCTTTTGATTCCCCAGTGTCCCTTTGGAATGTTATAATATTTTGTCTGTAATCGTAAAGACTAGTTTTCTGTTTAAGTATTTTTCTGAAGTAAAAACTTAATTGGTGTTGAAAGATCTATTTCTTCTGATAAATTTATTCATTGAATACTTTAAATGTGTATCATATATTTTGTTTACTCTTGAAAAATACTTCACTTACTGAACATAAATTAAAATACAGTACAGTTTGTTGTTTTTAATTGTGCTGTATTGATTTCACAGCAAAGTTCTGAACTACAATATTAAAAAATGATTTTATACTCAGCTGTCAGAAAAGTAGAGAAGAAATTTTGTTTAATGTTTTTGACCAGTGTATTCATAATATACTAGACAAATTGGACAAATACCTTGGCTCATTTATATTTCAGGTAATGAAATGTGTATCTTACACATGTGTGTTTCAGGTCATGAAGTGTATGTGTGTATATATATGCACTGATATATATATATAATAATAATTTACTAAGTAATTGAGTATATTTTCCTAATTTATTTTTAAATAAATGAATTTCATCTGAAAATTATGAACTGGAAACTTTTAAATGAAAATTAATACACTAAGTATTGTCATCTTGATCGGAAATTGGTTGACTTTAGGGACACTTTTATAACTAAGAATATGATCCAACTGGCAATTGAGTTTAGTTTAAGCCAAACTTGTGAGTTGAGTTTTAATCCAAATTAGTGAGAAGAATTAAGTTGAAGTACTGTAAAGAACATGATTTAGGAGTATTAATAACTTTCTGTGCTAGATTAAGTAGTAGTAATTTTTTTTTTATTTTACTTGAGTAAAGTGTCCCCCGCCACCCTCACTTCTTCAATCCTTCAATCTTTGATATGTATATATATGCACACATAGCTACTTATTTTAGATGAAATGGGTGCAACTTACCTGCATAGAGGTGTTTTAATAGCACTGTTTGACACTTACTAAGTCATTATTTATTTTTCATTTTTTCATCATTATGTGAATCCTTGTTACCCTTCCTCTTGATTGAAGTCTTAAAACATAATTCTAAAAGTAATTATGAAATTATTTTAGTAAAATTATTTGAAAAAATCGGTGTTTGAAGCTATGCTAGATATTAAAGGGCACGCAGAAAGATCTTCTATGAGCTTTTTGAAATGGGGCCATTTCTGCTATAAAAGGTATTATGAAAATGCATCCCATAAACATATTACATCATGATATTTTCTGGCTATTTAAATTATGTAGTGTTTTAAAATCGTTAATATGTTAGGCAATATAATATTTTTTCTTTTTAAAATTTCTTATTTATTGTAGTTTTAATTATTACATTATTAAAATTTTAACTTTTTGTTTCTCGCTTTTAAGGTATGGGAAATAATCTTAAAGCATCTAGAAATTCAAATAATACGTATGTTGATATTTCAGTAAAAAAATTGCAGGCTTGTACTGATTAGGTCAGAAAAGGGAAATTACTGGCAACAGGAATATATTTAATTAAATATAGGAAGTCGCCTAAAGAGAGTGGTGCCTTCTTGAAGGACTCTTTCTAAGGCCCAATATTCAAAATATGCATGAGGAAAACCAAGAAAACACTGTAACCAATTTTTTAAAATAATTATTTCACAATACTAAGGTTAAATATTTAATAAAGTTAGTACATATATCCCATAAATGGAAACATTTTGAAAAATTAACTAAAATAAGAATAGAATTATTATATGTTATACATTGCATAAGTTGCACTGTATGACAATTATTTATTTCCAAATATCAGTTACCAATGATTTTATTGTTTACCGCAGCATTTCTGGAATTGTGGTGCGTGAAGTGTGCCTTTGTAATTCTCATAGATTTACAAAAATGTCTTGTCATGTGTAAACGAAATTAACAAGATTTGACATAATTTCTTGCAGATGATATGAAGCTACGTACTCTGGCATATATTTCAGATGTATTCTCAAAACTAAATGAGTTAAATCTGTGTCTACAAGGCTATCTTTGAGTATTCTCTGTGCCCATGAGCAATTAAAGGGATTTGTTAGGAAACATGATTTATGGGTTAATTGTGTAAAACAGAGAAAGTTTTCACTATTTCCAACCTTAGAATCTTTTCTAGTGGAAAATTATGTTGTTATTGGAAAAGAATTATGCAGTGACATATGATCTCATTTCAAAATTCTCATGTCACATTTTGGAACTTATTTTCTAAATGATAAATACAGCAAATTTTTATAGGTTTCTTGATCCTTTCCACTGATATTTTGAAAATAAAAACTGCCATTTAATGAAAGGTAGTAGTTAATAAAATTCTGTAATGACACCGGACTTAAAGTGAAATTTCAAGCTGAAGATAGGTTAATTTCTAGTCCTTATTACTAGTGAAAATGAAATACAATGAACTGTAGAATTATGTTTTAAAAATTACATTTCATTTTGTGTTCACTGTATCTGTGTAAAAAAAGGGGGGTTTTCATGAATAACTCAAATAAAAACTGAGGGGCAAAATTGACTTTATGTATGTGCCGATCTCACACATAAGCTTGCCAGCATACATCCAAACACTAATATGAGTACTGATATTTATTTAACCTTTATTTAATGAGATAAAGATTATCTGAACTCTAATAACCTCGAATTATTAAAAATAATTAAAACTTTTTTTTCTGTTAACTTAATTACTTAACACTAGTGTAAAATTAATTGGATTTTGAAGGGGGCCAGATGGTCCACTGAGCATTCTAATTTATAAAAGTGGCCACCAGTTGAAAAAAGTTTGAGAAAGGCTGATTTTTACTGCATTCTTAAGAAAATGTAGTATCGTTTTTAAATAATGCATAATTGCATATTTGAAGAACACTCCAGTTGATACGTATAGAAAATCTGAAACTTTACCTAATTAATGCAAAATGAGAATCTAAATATTAGTCATAAATTTAAGAAACAGTACCCACTTAATATATAATGATTTCAAGAATCCTAGTAATAATTAATAATAATAAAGAACTGTAGTTATTGCTTTTTAATTGCACAGTTTATTCATCTGTAACAGATTTAATATCTTCTGCTTTAGTGTGGCAACCTATTGACAAAAATGTTTTATTTTGGAAAGTGGCAATTTTTTTTTTCTTTAAATCAGAGTTTATTAGTTAAATTATAAATATCTTATGCTTTGCTCAGTGGTGGTATTTTTTTTTTTTTTTTTTTTAAATCATTGAGTTTGTCGATTAAATTTGAAAGATAAGTATCCTATGCTTTTCTGAGTGGCAGTGCATTGCTTTTGAATTGCTGAGTTTGTTAATTGAAATTTCAAGTTGACATAAATTTGCAATAAATAAAAGCTTTGAGGTGCACATGTGGAAGTGAGAACTATGTATGTTCAAAGTTTGGCCGCTTTTAGGTGCTACCCATACTGTTCATAATACGAGGAACATATGTACATACATACATACATATGTATGGATTTTTCATTGTTTAATGGTAGAGATAAGCAGGGTTGATAAAGCATGAAATGGAATATAGCAGCTTTCGGATAGAAGCTAGTGTACTGTGTGAAATAATTTTAAGTGGAAACTTTGGAATGGGAAGAACTAAAATGTGTAAGTTGTTGCAATACACAAAGATGTATTGCATTGATTATTGATTATGATATGACTTGACTGTGATATTCAGTTATTTCATGTATTACTTTTTTATTATATTTTCTTGTTCGTAGTCACCAAAATAGCATACAGTTAAGAGATCTTTATATATTACATATATATAGTACATATTTTATATATTACGAATCATGCAAGATATTTTAGATCAGCCTCCAGTTTTGATTTGGTTCCAATTAATTCTAATCCATTCTTAAAAATAGTATTAGTTTTCTGTTATCAAGTGCAACTTCTTCTATTCACTTACACCATTGTGAATGTTGTTTTTCTAAAATGATGAGAAAAGTTAATCAACTATTGCTTAATGGTTTGCTACTTATGTGTGCTATATAGTAGGTATTCTTATCAAATGTATAAGTTTAATTCAATAAAAGTTTGTATATAATTTTTCATTTTAATTTGTACAATTAGCAGTTGTTCATTTCTAATAGTAGAATTTACAAGCACAAGGATGTATAATTGATTAATCTGATAGCTACACATACATACATGTAAGGAAACATGCACACATAGTATACACTGGTGTGCAAAAATTAAGGACGAGACGGTTTTTTCAATATAACTTTGTACAAAAGCTTTCCAAATCAACACATTTAATACCTTAAGATCCCCAATACGTAAGGACATGAGTAATGTAAGCAACACTTACTAAAAGAGAAATCAGAGGGATAAAAAGAAGCTTTATTGAAAAAGTAGCATGGAGTGCAATGCGACTGAAGGCCGAAACATCCCTGTGATGGGTGTCCAGCAAGAAACATCCGGTCTTTAATAGGGGATATGATCTCCCCTGACTGCTAGGCAGGTTTCACAGTATCTGCCCATGCTGAGAATGAGGGTGTCAATGAGTTGTTGAGGCACTGCTACCCATTCGTCTTGCAGCGCCAATCAAAGCTCCGGAATCGTTACTGGTGGTAAGGTACGAGCTGCCAAGCGTCTGCCTAGAAAATCTCATACATGCTCGATGGGATTGAGATCCGGAGATAGTGCCGGCCAATCCATACATTCAATATCCTCACTCTCTAAGAGCTGTTCGGCAGCTACTGTGCGATGACATGGTGCATTGTCGTCCATGAAAAGGAACTGCGGATCCATAGCGCCTCTAAAAAGACGCACATATGGAAGAAGAATCTCGCTACAATAATGGGTCCCGTTGACTGAACCTGCATCGAAGATGTGAAGGTCTGTACGACTACCAAGCATGATGCCTCCCCAAACGAGAACACCGCCACCTCCATACCTGTCCCTTTCAGTTATGTTCGAGGGATGATTGCGGCTTCCCCGCTCTCTCTAGATGAGTATGCGATGAGAATTGCTACTCAGACTGAATCTGCTCTCATTTGTAAAGAGTACTCGTCCCTATTCATTGTCTCTCCAATTCCAGTGTTCCCGGCACCACAGAGAACGTCTTCTCCGATGAGCAGGCGTTAGAGGTACACACCGTACAGGGCGTCATGCAAACAGACCACCACCGTGCAGTCTTCTGGCCATGGTAAAACGCGATATCGGTCGTCCAGTCGCCTGTGTCGTGTGTCTAGCGATTTCTCTCCCGCTGTCTGCCGCCTGTTTCTTCTGGCCTGTAAGGCAATATACCGGTCATCTGCGGGTGTGGTTCCTCGTGGACGACCACTACTAAAACCCACGGATAGCTGTTCCTGTAGTTGAAATTGTCTCCAAGTCGTGAAACGATGCTGTGAGCAATTCTGAACTCTGCAGCCACACTTGTCACACTGCGGCCTTCCTCCAACTTCCCAATGATTCGACCTCGGTACAAGCATCCAGATGTCGTCTAACAGATTGATTATTCGCCATTTCTCGC